GATGTTATAAGCTACCGAAATCCTTGCTTCTGATTGGTTATCAGCAGATTTGTCACTGATATTTGTCATTTGTCATTTAAAAAAGGCTTTGTGAAACGGGTCTCCGGTTTGACGATTTAGTGCTGTACCACTAAAATGAATTAAGAATAAATATGCGTAGTAAGGAAATCAAATTGCAAATTGCTCCTTTAAATTACTGTAAGTGTGTCAGAAAGTGTACTGATCTCTCGCTCTCTTCGGCAAATTATCGGAAAAGGTAATACATTTTGTAAATCTTAGAACCAATGATTACCTTGTCGGCTAATTTGGTATGCTGCGAAAGTATGTAGGTTAGTTCTTTTTGTATGGATATGGCAGCTATATTTTGCCATTTTCTTCGACACCCCTCCCTCCCTGTATAAGATGGCTAGCTACTCCCTAAATATTGAGGCACGAAATTGAAAAACAATTAAAAAAAATCAGAGAAACTAACTTTATTTCAATCTCCTCTCCCCATTGAAATGCCAAATTATTTTGTATTTCTTGTATTTTATTTTTTTTTCAATTAAGGTAATTTGTACGCGCATCATGAACCGTTTCCGAATGACTTGGGGAAATCAATTGAATTATCAATTTGCATTATTATTAATACTTGTTAACTTTTCCCATATATGGGAACTGTGAAGGAGTGATGATAAGTGAATTCCAATTACAGATTGAGGGAGAACTTATTTGAAATAGCATTCACGAGTTATGAAATAATGGAATAGGGAATACTGATGTTCTGTAAACATGACTGAAATTAATTAATTTGGTTCCTTTTCTATACATTTACCAAATATGCAGACATTATGTACAGATGTAAGACATAGGAAGGCCATTTTCAATCAAATTTTATCAGGTGCTAATAATTAACCTTTCCCTATCGCTTCCAGAAAGATTCTTTGACAATGCAACCGCATGACCAGAAGTTAGCTTTATCTTTTAAAAAAAAGCCTAATATGCTGATTACTGTAAATAACAAGCACTCATGTCATGTAATTCAGCATGACAGTTCTGGGCAAAAATTTCGACTATACAGATTCAACAGCCTTTCAATATTCATAATGATTAATAACACGTATTAGAATGTTTTTGTTATTATCTATTTCCATCATTTCAAGACAACAAATGATTTTCTCTTACATATTAAGATGTTGCGCTCTTGTAAGCTTTACAACAAGCTTCTGTAATTTGCATTTAATTGTAAAATATTCGGGTTGATATTTGTTGACAATGACAAAGAATCAGGGCATTCTACATACCCAGATGAAGTTTTTAAAGTAGCCGTTTTGAGTTTCGGGAATAAAAAACTCGGTACTGTGTCGATGTGGCAATTGTAAATTCCTTTGGAAAGAAATAGATTACCGAAGCTGTGACGTCATAATTAACTTTTGTGGAATTTCTCATTTTTTTCTTCATTTTCCGAAAGAGCATCAAAAATAATGTCCAAATGTCGAAAACCAATTGAATATCAAAGTATTGGCTGAGATATGACCACCTGGATAAAATGATTTCATATAGGAACTCAGTGTTATAGTGCTCTGGCTCCTAATGTTATAATCTATACTTAACCTATTTAATTGTTTTGCAGCGTTTGGACATTATTTTTGGTGGTCTTTCGGAAAATGAAGATAAAATGAGAAATTCAAAAATTAGATTACGTGATTACGTCACACTTCACCACTCTATAACACGACTGGAAGTTAATATCTCGGGTGGTGATTCTCGTCCCTTAGTGTACCATGGCTGATACTTGAAGCTTCATAAGCATTTTTTGTCTCAAACTAACAATTAGTGCTATCTTGAAGGTGAACAGGGTATATGAAAATGTGTCAAAGTGTCGTATGTCCTGTTACGTAATCATCACACAGATTGGCATCAGATTGACATTGGAAAGTCAATAGTGGATGCATAATTGACGTTAAAACAAAGACGAGCGGGTGCCCCAATTAGCGTTAAAATTGCCCCAATTATCTTGCCCAAAACGATTATTGTCTCAAATTAGAGGCACGTGTAGATATAATTCCCCCTTCGATATTGAACACACAGTTGAATCAGAAAACCAGCGAGTTCATAATAACATCGGTATATTGAAAAGCCTTAGCTCACATGTGATGTAACATATGCTTTGAAGGAGTATACCAGATGTCTTCAGTGCCCCCCCCCCCCCCCCAACAAAAAAGGAGACAGAAACGATAAATTCAAAAACAGTATTACAATGAGTGCGTAATCCAGAATGAACTTCAGGTCAACAATTAATAACGAAACACCCACACGCACACGCACACCCACACCCATCCACCTTTCCTAACGCTCACACTCGGAAGATAAGAACACACCCACACGGATATCCGCAAACGACCCCCTCCCACACACACAGAGACTAAATTTCCATTCCTTACCCAAAACTACTATTACTACTACCACTACCTAAACTAATACTACTACCACTTCTACTACTACTACTACTACTACTACTACTACTACTACTACTACTACTACTACTACTACTTCTACTTCTAATTTTACTACTACAACATCTACTACTACTGCTACTATTATTACAACAACAACAACAACTACTACTACTACTACCATATCTACTACTTCTACTTCTTCTACTACAACAACTACTACTAGTACTTCTAGTTCTACTTCTTCTTATAATTATACTACTAATGATACTGATTAAATGAATAATAATATTAACACTACTACTTCCACATCTTCTACTGCTTCTGCTACTTCTACTAGTATCCACTTCTTCTACTACTAGTAGTAGTACTACTACTTCTTCTACTACTTCAACTACTTCTCCTCCAACTAATTCTGCTACCACAACCATTTCTACCACTTCTACTTCACCTGTACTACTACTACTGCTTCTATTTGTACCACACCTACTATTTACACTGCTACTACTACTTCTATTAATATTATTATTACTACTGCTACTACTTTTACATCTTCTAATACTTCTACTACTGCTACTATTATTACGTCCTTTGCTGGTTATTATTTTTTTGCAATCGCATGCACTTGGATATACTACTTGAAATTAGATTTATACTACTTGAAATTTGAAGTATCACCATGCTCACTACCGATCCTGCTCAGTCACCATGTACATACAGCCATATCATCTAATGCGACTCCCGTGATTAGATAACCAAAGACACTTTGAAATTAATATGAAGTGCTTGATATCAGACGTTTTTATTGTTCCTACCCATTATTTTCACAGATAATCTTACATTTTATTTGACAATATTCACCATACTTACTATTTTGTTCTTTTAATTTTCATTCAAAATTTCAAGCGCCATCACAATGTAAAGCGAACCTAATTTGTCACCTAAACTACGTACAAATCGATGAAATTTTACCCTTTCTAGTACTGAAAAGTAAGAGAACACGCATTATTATATGTTTACACTTTGTATGAATATCATCGCATTATCACAGCTCCAGTATAAAGTCATGAGAGGTTTCATTTGATAGATACTAGTAAGGTGTTATTTACACTGAAACCAATCTCTGAATTAGAAGATAACATTGGCGTCAAATTAGAACTCGTTCTTGTTTTCAGCTGGATGGGTCCAGTCAACGAGTGGGCACTGATCTTCATTTCTTCTGATTAGTAATTAGTTCAAAGTCCTATTTGTCATTTGTGATTTAAAGACTCGTGAACAATGGGGATATTTGAAAATGGCATTTAACATGCTCTTAAAGGCTTGAAAGCATACTACTAGACAGCCAAAGTGATCACCCGAGAAGAGATTATCTTTACAGGGGAACTTTTCTATCGAGAAGATCCTTCCATTAAAGGCTACAACTTTGCATAAAATATAACACAAGTCTCATTTTAAAATTATTTTGAAAAAAATAAAAAGCACGTAAACATACTTTTAGCATATATTCACATTCAATATTCTTCAGATGATTAAGGGGGGGGGGTACTTTGCCATTACTGAAGATATAGACGATGCAGCTGAATAAATCCATTTATACGGTCTTTTGAAGAGCACATTTCTCATATATGAACTAAAATCGTTTAATAGAGACTTTCACTTTGACAAAATTTGATGCTCTGATATAAGAAAGGCTTAATCTTTACCTCAGTTAAAGACATAAAAAGGAAATCCATCCCTTGTGATAAGTTCATTTTTATTAAGGCAGAAAATAAGATACATAAAATGTCGAATTAAATCGAACAAATAATAATAAAGTTATCATCGTTTTAAATATGAGATCACTAATAAGTCTATGCGAATCTCAATTTGGCAGTTTGGTCATGAGACTGTGGCGTAGTCGCGCATAAATCTCCCTTTTGTTGTGTACAAAATATCATTTATTCCTGTTTTTCTCCTAAGAGCCTTCTCTCTTGTTGCAACACTAAAAATATATTATGGATAGCTTATCATTATTACAGGTCCTCCAAAGAGAATAAACCTTTCTGAGACATAAATTTGTATAAAATATAAATTTTAGTAATTTCGTGTCTTGGAACAAACAGGAGAGTTGTCCGCTACTACATCGCAGAGATATTACCGATTCAGCCAATTTTGTAGAGCCCATACCTATAGTGATTGCACCTTTTGAAAATGTATTACTTTCTCAATATTTGTCCGACTTAATTAAAACTTTTCCCAGTCTACTTCTCTGATTTGTCCTACTTTCCTCCAGAGTATTTGATATTAAGGTTTAATTTCCCGTTAATCAAATATAGATTAACTGGATATCATTCCCTTTATGACAGGACACTTTCATGTATCGTACACATTACTCTTTAACCATAAAATCACACTAGTATTATCAACTTCGTTTTAAAAAAATATATAATAGAATTATTGAAATTGTGAATAAATCCATCGAAATAATGTTTGAAGAATAGTGAACAGTTCAAGCAAAATCAATTTTGTTTTAATAGTGTGTTCGAAGTAGTTTATTTTGCTTTGTTTTAAAATGCGTTTATAAAACCCGTCAGCATAAAAAGGCACTACTAATCTCACGTTAACCCTTGACCCGAGTACAGTTATGCTATCTTTCCTTTCATAGTTATTGTGTTAATTACATCAATCTTAACACTAAACCTACATGAAGCGAGTAGTAGCTTTAAACATTACAGTACACGTCTGCATTTGAAATTCCTAACATTCGTATTTTTGGTGATAAAGATAAACTATAGATTGGTTTGATTTCTCGCGTTCCTCGGAGACTTTCAAGAGGATCTTAAAACCTGACGTCTAAAATGATCTTTATCTGACCTGTCATTCAAATAAAATGAAGCTTAATATTAGCAAAATAAATCTTGAATTGGACATTCATCGTTTTTGTTTATTGGCATGCCTTAGTTTTAAAAGTGTTGATAGGTCATTTAATGTTTTGATAAAGCCTTACTCATGTTAATGCAGCATTTTACAAAAAGAAATATGTCAGAATGACATCATTATAAAATGAATCATTGATTAATTAATTACGAAAAACAAAGGTCCTTTACTTTCCAAACACCAACATTAAAATCATTTACAATACATACAATTATGAAGGATATAATACATAGGAAAACCTCTCAGTGAACAAATATAGTAAAAACCAAATATGGGAAAATCTTAGAATGTACAGATCTGGCAACGGCAAGCTTCGGGTTGTTTTAGAGTCACTTGGTGAGTGAAATCTGGATCTGTGATTCCTAGGGCGTGATCATAGCAGTTTGTCATGACAACCTTCTTGTGAACCATCCCATGTTCTCTGCAACAGTGACATTTCTGAAATAGCAATCAAAGAACAGAAGATAGTCTGTAAAGAATATGAAGTAGTTAATCCCTAAAGGCATATTGATGCGCTCGAAGATAACGCATTTCTAGATTACTTTCTTGAAAGAGATGGTAGAATTCTTGTAAAGATGCAAAATAGTTTTGAGCTCTATCCCTCTTTTAAAGGGTTACCTACACTAAACCCGTAACAAAATGAACAATCTTGTAATCTTCAAAATCTTAAAAAAAATAATCCTGAACCACATTTTGAAAGTAACAAATCTACCTTTTTTTGTTACTGTATATTTAAAATGAATTATTCTGTTATTTTACTACTGTATGCATTTTGAAATTATTTGCAACAAGAAGGACTAAAAGCTGCACTTCGTAATCATTTATCTCCGACAGCACGGAAGTAGTTTCATTTATATGCGATAAACTTTTCAAAAACAATCGCTCAACGGTTCTTTTGTTGCCTCCTTTTGTTCAAACCGGTTAATAAAACTAGCTTTCGTGTGGCCAACCTCATGGTCTTTGGTCTTAGATCCAATATTATGTTCATGTGACACGTGCTCAGATTTTACCCGTCAAAATAATAGGAAAACTGTTGGTTTTATTATAGGTTTAAGGTGAGAACATTTTAAAATATTTTCATGTTTTGCTTGCATTATAAACTACAGATAGTCTTTTACAATAAATGTACACCTATTGATAAAAAGAACATAGTTTCAATCAAATATTTACAATTTTAAAGCTCACTCAAACTAGTACTATTTTATTAGATTATGAACCCTTTTTCCCACTTCTTAAGTCAATATTTCGATCGAGACCTTTATAAGAACACAAAACGCCTAGGGAACCATCCAAATTGTTTAATTCTAACGTGACTCAGTGAAACAAAACAATTATTCTTTCTTTCTCTTCGGTTTTGTTCCAAGTCGGGAATTCCTTGAGCATCTAAAACGAGCATCAACGGAAATAGCGTTGTAAGCAGGTGGTTTTGATTTGGATGTTTCCACGACGATAGGTTTGCCATCGACTATTTCTTCATGGATCTCAAAAAGGTACCATTCTTACACGGACTTCCCTCTTTCCTCTGGTTGCTCTACTTCCTGTCAACCCTCTAACAATCCTTCATATTATGACCTTTCATGTATCCTCTTTATCTGGGAGAAAATCCCTGAACGAAATTCGTTTCAAAGTTTGTCTTCATCGAGATGTAATTGTTCGATATCACGAGGCAAAGTAATTCATTATAGACCTTCAAATTTTAAAATGTTTGTTATGTTTCCATGAAGGCAAACGTAATGCTAATAAGATGTAATGTCCAAGAGAAGAAAAAATATAATCATCAAAATCAGGAAAGAAAATGGGATAAATCATCCCCCCAAAATACACATCATGACCTTCGAGGATGCAAATATACATATACATAAAGGAAATGGATAGGGAGAGGGGGAGAAAGAGGAGGAGAGGGAGAAAGTGAGAGCGAGAGAGAAAGAGAAAAAGAAAGATAGATAGAGAGAGGAGATAGAGAGAGAGAGAGAGAGAGAGAGAGAGAGAGAGAGAGAGAGAGAGAGAGAAAGAGAGGGGTAGAGGTGGGAGGGAATTAGAGAAACGGGAATGATAAAAAGAAGAAATGACGGTGTTAGTTAGGGTGTGCGCTCATAATATTGTATCATTTTTACCAGTGTTTACACAGATATGGAAATTGTTTACATAGGTAGATGAAACACTCATGCGTTAAGAGGTTTCGAGAAAATGATGAACACGAGCGTCCAATCGCAATTTCAGCGGATCCGTAATTCACACCACCTTCGCAAAAATGACTTCTTAAATATTATTAATCATTAATAATTCGGGAGGAGAGCAGTGTGAAGAGCAAACTTAATTAATGTGATGTCTTGCCTCTCTTCCGGTGTGACTAATTTGAATGTAAATTATGTAGCACCATGATAATGCCAGAGAAGCGGGGTATAAGGCGTTGTAACGCACTCTCTCACTACTATATGAATCCCCCTACAAATTTTTTTTTCAACTTTTGTTGACAAGCTTACACTTTTATGACAACCCTTTATAACTTGTTTAACATAACAGTTTACCGATATACCATGTATATGTCTAGAAAATGAATACCGGGACATTACGGAGTATAGAACTGCAGGGATTTCCTGGTTTCGCTTTACCCTTCTTTTTTGTTAGTTATTGTACTCCGGTTTGCTTGTATTCTTTGCTATTAAGCTTTTGTTATACTCCTTAACGTAACTGGAAATGAAACAAAATAAAGTAAAATAAAACTTAGAATAAGTTTTCAAATAAGCCAATTGTAAGATTTGATATTAACAAAAATGTGCATGCTTCTCTTAGGTGGTAAGTTATGAGGGAATAAAGAGTTCCCATAAAAAATTCTTTCTCGTCACCACATTTTCTTGGTACCATCACTATGGTAACGAATAATGATGAGTGACGACCACTTACTGGTATGATAGACTAACGAGCGGGTAGAGTACCACGTGACCCAAACCACCACTGTACCATGCACTCATGCATGTACCCTGTAATATTCTATTTAATATATGAAGATCATTGAGAGAGCACGTAGGTCACGTGGATAGGGTGTTAACCTGAATAAAGTACAGTACTAATGTGATGCGATGAGGGGGAGAGGATGATATCAATGAAAGTGTGATTAATTGGTCAATATTAGCTCAGAAACACGTCACGTCTTCCTGACTTCATTCATCCATGCCTCAAGTCTAAGTGAATACCATGTAGGCGAGGGTGCGGGGGAGGGGTGTGGGGAGGGGCTACATGATATGAACAGAGGAAATTATAGAACGCGAGATACAAAGTCATCTTACTTTAAAGTAAGTAGTATGAAAAGAACAGGTACATCAGATTTTGTTCTTTGTGATGCCATCGAAATGGTGACAATCTTAGCGGTAAACACACTACGGGTAACTTTACAAAATTTAGTAATGCGGATTTAAGTTACATTGCCATCGTCTAACTGTGGTGCATATTTTCAATGCGAAGCACCATAAGTTGTGAAACAAGCGACTTCATAAATCTTTAACACGTGATTAAGCTACATGTACCTGCCTCTTCTCTGTCAAATAGTATCACATAATCTCGTGTCATAGTTCGAAAGCTAGTAGACTGTATTCATCTTGATTGTTTTAGTTTCACATTGGAGGCTTAAAAAAATGAAATACGTAAGAGGGAAAATGTATTGAAAAAATTCCTGTAGGACTATGTTGTATTGAAATCTACTGCAAGTTGTTATCTATTTTTCATAATACATATATGCATATGGCTGTGCGGCTTAGAAGGACTTCACCCAGAGCTGGTTACACCACTGATTTTCCCATGTTCAGTGAACTAATATTAATTCATGAGAGTATATTTTATTTCTTTTTAACTATAGTAGCATTTTCTTAAACACACTTTTGTTTAACCGCAAAATATTAAAAAACATAACACGGGACCATGCCATTCTTGAAACCCAGTTATCATGGTTATGATAATAATAAAAATAACAAAAACTGTTCTCAGAAAGCGCCTTCCACCTTCCTCTAAGCAATATGGGACTTTTTAGACCAGCGCTTCTAAACTGATGGGCCGGGATGTCGGCCAGAAAGACATAGGCCTATGTTTTTCGAGATAATAATACAATTTTTTTTAAAAGAATGTGTGATCTTACATGACACAGCTGCAATTCAGCTTAGATTTACATGTACCATAATAAAAATGTCTTTTCTTTTTTGTTCGCTCGATTCGCTAACTTTGCACACTCATGAGATTTATACACAGGATGATTAATATTCAACCAGAAATACTCAGGTCCCCCCTGCCTGTGGTTTTATATCTCCTTTGCGATTTTTTCTACCCGTGATGGATAAAAAGGACAATAGCGTGTTTCAGGGTTAAACACGCCCAAATCTACCGCTCGTTCGCATGCTCACTCGCTGGTTGGGAAGTTGGGAAGTTGGGCAGTTGGGAAGACCTAGATAAACATGTGCAGGTGAAGGACGCAATAATACTTACACACACCACTGCTTACCTCTACAATTCGTCCTCTGTTTTCTTGTGTCATGTTTTATTGATATTTTTTCTCAAGTGTTTTGTAAGGTGGGCCTTGAAATATTTCTATCAGCCAACGTAGGCCTCCAGTTTTCAAAGGTTGAGAAGCGCTGTTCTAGACGTTTTGAATAGCGAGTTTTTGTTGGAAGGGAGTAGAAATCGGATTAGAAAGAAATATGTGCCTGATGTTGGTATAGGAACAAATGTAATCAAAAGAGTAACGCAAATTAGATACCTTGGAATCTTAATTGATGAATACCTTGACTTGAGCAAGCAAGCAGATATGCTTAAACTAAATGATTTTTCTGTTGTAAAGCAATGGTATTTTTTTATATCAAGAAATAGGAATAAATGTTAAAATGGCTTGCCATAAAAACAAAGTAATACGCAAGCCAAATACGCAAAAATGTGACTGAGGCACTGTTGTATTTGTATACTTTGTATTGCGTCTTATATTCAATTGTATATATTTCGTATGTAATTTTGTATTATGTATGCACGGACTTGCAGACAAATAGCCATTAGCTGAAGCAAGTCATCCATGTTGAAATAAAATGAAATGAAATGAAATGAAACGAAATGAAATAGATTGGTACATTTCTTGGGTACCCAAGCACATAAACGTGGCAAGACATGGTGCCCAACATCTTCTTCCTCGAGCACTTTACATGCTACTTATCGACACCTTCAACTTTTATGGTGTCATCACGTGTCTGTTACAAGAATGGTGCTCATTTCTTGAGGCCAGGCGTGTTTTATAATACTGGTCATCGTATTGAGTGACATGTAGAGAGATAGGATTAATGACCACTACAAAATGCATCAAACTCACGTAGGTAAGGGTATGTTGGACACAGAACGAGGACATAAGGTAAACAAAAGTCCACAAGCTTCCACATTCCACATTCCACGGCACGTCACTGATGATTTAAAGGGATAGTTGAGTTCTGTTGCAGAGGGCGCTACACAAAATATTTTTTTTGTGAGATAATGAAAAACTGAGTGTCAGATCCGAAAGAACATAATATTTAAATGACAAAATCATCTTTGTTTGATCAAAATCGGTTTAGAGACGGCTGAAATATAACGATTTCTAATAATACTTGTGTACAACCACAAAATATTGGATATTTTGAAACATTTGAAAAAAACGTTGAAAAAAACGAAATAACACCTTTTACGTCGTATTTCAACTAATGCCGATGTTGGCTTTTTTGTTGGCATTTTCGTGTAGCTTATATTATCCACAGTTAGCCGGCTCATGTATTGTTATTTTTAATTAAATAACTAATTAACGGTCACCGTGTTTTTTTTTTTAAAGTAGAGCTGAATTGGTATGATCGCATTGGCTAAATGTCACACATTTTGAGGTCTAAAATTACCTTTATCGCAATTTTTGGTTCTAAAAGGGCACTATAAATGTCAAAGATAAGAATAAAAGCAATAACCATGCACTTTGAAGGCATTTGCGGTCTGAAAACAGAACTCAACCATCCCTTTAGGCTCCACTTGTATTTTTAATTTCTTTTCTTATACGAATAGCTTCGATCAAAGGTATCGATGTAATCATTGAATAGAATCTACGAGCCAAAACGCTCGAATGATATTCAAATCTATAAATGAATCTTAACATACATTAATAAGTACTTATGATCCTAATTCCTAACAAATGTAGGATCAGGAATTAAACACTTTTTTCTGAGTACGATATAGGTTAAGAAACGTCTTTTTACAACAGCAGTACAAGTAATACAATGCGATGAACATGTCAGATTGATTTCTAAATAACTACTTTTTTTTTCTAAAAAGAAAAACTAGATACAATTTGCAAATTTCAGTTCACGTTATGCTCCATATAGGCCCTATCTCAGGACCGTAATGTGATGATGACGAAGGGAAAAAAACAAGTAATGTAAAGGTAATGTTCAATCAATATTGCCCCCATTTAGCAGGTTTTCGTGTGTACCTCTAAGGATATTTGTCTATGGAAATAGAATTGAGTGGCATTGTGGATCGAGACTCCTATTGATCTCCCATTCATGATGACCCATTTTAATTTCCCTTTGGATAATGCATAACAGTTGCATGAACTCCCTGATGAATAGGGGAATGAGAACCTCATCGCCCTCAATAATGACCAAAATCGAACGTATATTCAGTTATCCCGAATTCACCAGGCTTACGGTGTCGAGATAGCATACGCACAATAGCAAAACTAGTTTTAAATAGTAATAATATAACGAGTTAACAAAGAGAGAACTGCGATGACAGGCTAATGAATATATGAACTCCCGTGCGATGATACACAAAGGGTAAACAAATATAACAATGCCTCAATGGTATCTTGAGGTTTTCTTTGAAGTAGCGTTTTCTTTCTCAACCTTCGGGTTAAATTCTCGGTGGACTGTCTCTCTCTCTCTCTCTCTCTCTCTCTCTCTCTCTCTCTCTCTATCGTGTACTATTTTTCTTTAAAAACACTGAATTCTTGAATATCAGTATTGTTCAGATATATCGACTAAATCATTCATAACGGTTTATATATTTGCTCCCGACCACTTCTTTTAGCCAACCTTCTATTATGAATGAAACGTAAAAGTGGCATGAAGACCGGATGGATTTCGATTTTCAAATCATGACAAAGAAAGTATTTACTTTAACGTCTCATGATGTCACTTGGGATTTTAATTATTAATCATGGTCCTTCTTTAGATTATTTGAATGGAGTAGATATAAGGAGACACTCAGCGTAAAGGGAATGTCGCTAACTTAGACCTTGTTAACACTGGTTGACATTGGTGTGCAGCTGGGTAGGAAGTGTTTCATATTCCTCCCATTATGTTTCCGTGCGATATGATATCCGTTGCTTACTTATATATGCTTTGTATCAATGGAGATGGCACGGAATGGTACGGAACAATTCCAAATATAACGGGTTATCCGTACTTCATCTGAAGATATCTAAGGTCTTTTCTTTGAAAAGGGAGGAAAAGTGCATTCACTCGACATTTATAGTATACTTTTGCCTGGGTCATAATTGGGATCTTTGGCTCGCATTTGTTAAAAGCGTCTTAATTTTAATTCAGGTTTAAGTGCGTAAAATCAGTCCAGTGATTTAAAGGGAACTTCACGTGTCATCCCATAAAAACATCATGCATGAATTCTAAATAAACAAACAAAATTCTCGTCATCTTAAAATCGACTTTCATTTTCATTTCATGACTGGGTTCTGTTCAATCATTTCGTTACACATATAATATCATATAAAGATCGTATAACAGTAGGTGTACCTCTGCCCACCTTCACAAACATCTGGCCTTTGTGTTTCCTCATTGACCGAATAAAAAAAGAAGGGCCGTTTAGACAGCAAAATATAAAACTCACGGAGTACATGTCCTATCGGCATCTCTTCTTTCAGCTTTCTTAACGATATATTACCATTTGAAACAAATCCTGACACATAATTATGTTACGAAATGACAACCCAGGGAACACACACAAGCATATACCTAACGTACATACTCACACACACTCACCCACACACGCCCACACACATAAAAAGGTTATTGGGACTCAAATGAACGCTCTATGAACGTGTTAACGCCCTCCGGATTATTTCTTTTCAAATTGCACCCTGTTAACCATAATGCATTGGGGTGATTGTAAGGGGTGCGTATAGCCCCGCCTCTGAACCAAGCATTCACTAATTTACGTTTTGCAGTTAATATAGTGAGAGTGGGTGGACACTGGATATTAAACTTCATTTTTCGTTTGACGTTTAAACAGTCAAGTTTTCTTTGCAAGGGTGATTGGCAGGTTTTGTACACATTCAGGATGTTACGATCCGTCTCTTACAATGATTTCCCTCGAGCATTTGCAATGTTTGTCGAAATGTCCTGCTTAGTGTTCACCATTCATAAAACTAGGCCTTGTGCGAGGGTGTGATCGGTAACCAAGGGGCTCATGTTGACTCTAACAAAAGAACGAGGAAGGGGGAAATGGGCCTTGGAAATGAAGATAGCGAGGACGGAGACAGTAAATAAAGTGGGCGATGGAGATGAATAACACTTTAAAAACGGAAGGGTTAAACAAAGATTTAAAACGGCCGAAGAGCGACAGTGTATTATACATATAAATATGAAATAATAATATGATAAACTAATATAAATATAAATATTTATTATACATATTAAATTTGTTAACGTACCCCTTTGAACATGTGTTCACTCCTTGAATTTTGATTTAACATTTGTGTTTGTACCATGCACGATTGATAGAAAAGTGTGCAGAATTATGAGGGATCTTGGGACAGAGAGAGAGAGAGGGGGACAGAGAGAGAGAGGGGCATGTAGAGGGTGTGTGAGAGATAGAGAGAGAGAGAGAGAGGGAGAGAGAGAGAGAGAGAGAGAGAGAGAGAGAGAGAGAGATGGAGAAAGAGAAAGAGAGAGAGAGAGAGAGAGAGAGAGATGGAAGAGAGAGAGAGAGGGAGGGGTAGAGAGGGAGAGGGAGATAGAGAGAGAGAGAGGGGTGGAAGAGAGAGAGAGAGGGGATAGAGAGGGAGAGGGAAAGAGAGGGAGAGAGGGATGGAGAGGAAGAGAGAGAGAGAGAGAGAAAGAGAGAGAGAGAGAGGGAGAGAGGGAGAGAGGGAGAGAGAGTTGGGAGAGCAAAGAACGACATAGATACATAGAAATGATACCAATGAACAGGTGAAAGATGGTGTGAGCAAAAGGCATGGAAAGTACGGGGCAGTGTAAATAAATGAAGAAAAAGATAAATACATTAAATAAATGGTAAGACACATATACCATTAGCAATACAAAGAGTGTTATAAAAGCTAAATGCTCATTGAATCGTCATGGCCAATATGTTTAAATCGAGTAGAAGATAGAAGTCACTACGGGAGATAAATAAAGACCTACGAAAGGCAAACAGAGAGACTGAGATAGAACGAGATGTAGGCGATGAAGAGAGAGATAATTGGAAAGAAAGAGAGAGAGAGAGAGAAAAGAGAGAGAGAAAGAGAGAGAGAGAGATGTATATATATATTTATATACTAAGTACACAAATATTGGATGCGATTTATTAGTCGATCGCAAAGACTTTTGAAGAAAAAAAAAATCATGCAGCCCTTTGAAAAATGCGAACACGACAATGACATATTACGCAAATCGAAAACGATTAATATAGGCGATAGTAGGCGATACAATAATGTACTGAAACTGCCCTCGAGTGGATTCTGAAAGACTTTGCAATCGTTAAAAAAGGAAACAAAATCTGTATTCACCTTATCAAAGCCATGTTGTAAGACGGTAGGAGACACCTGTGATATGCATTTACCCTCGCATTGGTTCACCTGAACTCGTTTCCGACATCGAAGAGTTCTTTGAAGGTTATCGTCCACCACCTCGACATCTATGGTAGTCTCGCCGTGTGACAGCTCACAAGTCTCGCCATCCGCGAGAGAGCTGACGCGAGAAACGCTTCCCGCCCCACAGAGTAAGACGACGAGAAGTAACAACATGGTGTACAGCCAGATGCCAGGTGGTTTAGGCGTGAACTGTGAAGAAAACAAAAGAGGGAGAAAACTTTCAAAATTAACATTCGGGCTACTACTACTACTAACATTTTTTTTTTTTTTTAATTTAAAAAAAACTACGATAATAAATGTAGTGTAGGTTCATGTACTTAATACTAATATTACTACTACAACGGCAACCAACTATTACTACAACTACAACTACTACTGCTGCTATTGCTACTACTACTACTACCACAACAACTACTACTACTTCGCTAGTGAGTGTGAAATTGGGTGTTTTACAGACGTGTATCAATCGATCAGATATGACTATTCACGTCTGGGACCATCCGAAAGACGTGACTCAGTTTCGAACCTGCGTTTGTAACTTCCATTTTTGGCTGAATCACAGGTGCACGCCACAACGCTATTACCACTACTACTACTACTACTACTACTACTACTACTACTACTACTACTACTAATACTCCAAGTACTTACTACTACTGTTAGAATTATCATGAGTACTACTACTTACTACTTCTGCTAGAACTACTCCCGCTAGAAGAACTACTACTTCTACTACTACTACTTACTGCTCCTGCTGGTACTACTACTACTACTACTACTACTACTACTACTACTACTACTACTACTACTACTACTACTACTACTACTACTACTAATCCTACTACTGCTAGTGCTACTACTTCTACTACTGATACTACTATTGCTAGCACTACTACTACTACTACTACTACTACTACTACTACTACTACTACTACTACTACTACTTTGACTACTACTTCTATTATTACTACTTCTCTACTACTTCTCTACTTCTAATACTACTACTTCTACTGCTAGTGCTACTACTTCTTCTACTGCTACTACTATTGCTAGCACTACTACTCTACTACTACTACCACTACTACTACTACTACTACTACTACTACTACTACTACTACTACTACTACTACTGCTACTACTACTACTACTACTACTACTACTACTACTACTACTACTAGTACTACTACTCAGTACTACTGCTAGTACTACTACTCAGTACTACTGCTAGTACTACTACTCGGTACTACTGCTAGTACTATTAATATTACTACTAGCGCTACAACAACGACTAAGATTAAAATATGAGTGACATAAAATAAAGCATCAGAGCATTTAGCCTTATTAACTGATTTTGAGTGTCGAATATGCTGGAACAAAAAGTCAATCGACGTCCATTTTGGAAACGAGTGTTTCATTTGGAAATAATCTAAGGTTGCATTTGTGATTAAACGTGAAATGGTGCCCAAACGAAGAAAAACTGGCTACTGATAATACCGGGGCGTTGAACTATACTACAACGTGCTTTCAGCTCGTCAATCATGAGACTTGTCGGGGGTGACGGTCTAGGAATATTAATCAGTTTAATTATGGAGTGAGTCTGATTGGTGATTCATGGCTTCAACTAATTCAATCATCGTGATCATCACAATACAAGGAGGGACAAAGACAATTTTAATTAAACGATGCGGAGGAGAATATGGGATGACTAATTAATAAGGTAGCAAAAACTATAGCAAATAAATCCAAATGTACATAAGAATACCAAAAGGTCTGTCCTTGTTGTTGTTATTGTATTTGTTCTTTTGGTTCTTGTTGTTGTTATCGTACGTGTTGTTGTGGCTGTTGTTGTTATTGTACTTGTTGTTATGGCTGTTGCTGTTGCTGTTATTGTACCGGTTTTTGTAGATGTTGTTGTATTATGTCTCAATACACCCAGGTAACGTAATATTTATGTATTTTTGGTACAATATACAAGCTTGAATTAAGGATTTTAATTTATTCTCAAGGAATTGCCAATCCTTTATTTATGATCCAGATAATATAATCTTTGAATTTAGCACAAGATTTGGTTCGAATGATAATACAAACATTCTCTAACGCTATCCACGAGGAAAACGAATCCCCAAAATATTCATGATTTCGAATTGAGTTCATTTGTAATTAAGTATTAAAATGACAATAGTTTCAAAGCATTGAATCAACTCCCCTTAATTTCACGCGTGAATGTTCCAAAAGAGCTGAGGACCCTGCACAGTGAAAGGAATTAATCATGCTATCATAGCTTACAATAGTGTTCTGTTGAAATTGAGCAGATATTGAGCAGTAATAACAACATCTCAAATACATCGAATAACCAACACAAGGGCAATTGCAATACCCCATTCTACATCATAATAATGGAAGTCATGTTCGGACTACGTAATACCTCAGATGTCAAATATGTTGTCAAATTGAATGGAAGAAAATAAATATTCATTTGAATTGAATTGAATTGAATTGTCATGTTAGTACAATGCAATAGGTCATGCACGAGCTTATTGCTCTGGGTGTTTTTTTTTAAAGTAATTGCGATTGTGTTTAATGCATTCTAATCAATTTATCACACCATGCCGTCTGCACACTCCGACATCTTCTTTGGTTATCATTTTAATGAATCTACTCACTTGTATTTCACCAAACGGAAATAGACCTCTTTCAATAAATCTACTTCACAGAGTAATGATAAAACACCAACAAAACCTGTATATCAGGTGATGCTGACCGCAAAATTATATCTACAGTGCGAGACAAAGACAATACATTCACAACATGGAACATAAATATCAGTACAAGTATCTATTTCCACGTCATCGTATTCATTCATGCAAATAGTTTGTGCACCATCTCCAATTACAGGACGATATTCTTACCAAAATGATAACTTTAGCTAAACGACATGTGGACATTTCGTTCGAAGTAGCTTCCGGCATCATATAATGTCATATTTTTCCAGGGTATAGAGTGGCAGTGTTTTATTAAAGGACATTAGTACCATGCCAGGACTCGAACCCATGACCTTAGTATTTCATGTGGACTGTTAATAAACTACTGAGCCACAAGTAACTTAAATGCCATGAGTGTCTACCTGCTATTCTCAACAAAATTCTTAGATACTCTACGAAGACTTAACATAATTATACGTGGCAAGTCAACTGCACGGTAAAATTAGGAGCTACAAACCTGGGAAGAAAACTTCGTGTAGATGTCGGTCGATTACAGTTCGGTCGTTTACAACTTTGTCACTTTTTTACAGCAATCTACAGTTGTACATCAAGGTGAACAAGTTATTGTATAGTTCGATGAAACCTCCTTAACGTCTTGAGGTGAGAAAGACAAAGTGAAATAAACTAAGCAAGTCGAAACCTGAACAAACGCTAATTGCAGTCACGCCAATAATATTTCACGTAGTCGTTTTTTCTCTTGTACTCTACAAATATAAACATGCAATTCCTATTTGGTAGTTCTTGACTGGCATAGCCGGTCAGTAGCGTTAAGATAATTATACACCACGCACATCCAAACGAAGGCAAATCATCAAGCGAGTCAAAGCGAATAACTTCTCAAATTGCACGAATGATCTCATCCGATTCAATAAATAAAAGAAGTTTCGAAATGAGTGAGACGATGACGTCATTGGCATCGATGTCAGCTTGAGATGCAACCTTTTACAATTAGCCATGCAATGAAGAGTGATGCAAGCAATTCTGATCATGTGATCATGGCGGGTAAACGTCTAATCGGACCAGATGAAGTGAACAGATTAAAACGATCTAATTTAAGAAAGAATCACCTGTCCAATCCTGAATGCGATCGTTACAACTTCTCGATCTTGCTTGACACACTGAAAACAAGTAATGATGGGTGAACCTTGAGATTTAAAGATGAGAGTTCAAATTCAGATCAATATATTTAAATAAATCCGCCCCTCAGTGGGTGCAATTGAAACAGCACCTTGTGGGAAATGAGGCAATCTTGACAAGTTTCCAGCGATGTCCATTCAGCACCGGATTTCTGAATCACGATTAGTCCGTTTAATCACGTCAATACACAATGATCAATAAAGGCAGACAAATTATTCTTCTCAATCGTTTTACTCTTTTTCTCTACAGACATGGTATTTAAAACCGTTTCTTTGAGATGTTTTCATTTCGGTTCCAACCACAGAAAATCAAATTGTGTTCATATTTTGTGCATGAATACATTTGAAAAGACCCGTCTGGCCTTGAGTCCAGCCACAATTCTTTTTCTAGTTTTCATGGAGAGGATACTCAATCAACGAATTCTTTGACAATATCCACCTCAACTCTTTATCACTATAAAAATAGATTTACGTCGCCATTTCTTCCGTGAAAACATTTACCCATTTTTGTTTTCGTCAGGAAAATATGACAATAGATATCAAGTAATTCAAGTAAACATGGGCACACATTTAAAAAAAATATAATATTAAGGTTTTTTAATTATCTCCAAGTTTTGTCAATAATACAGTTTGTCTTGCTCCTTCACTGTGTATCATTTGGACAGTGTTCGATATAGCCATGATATAGCTAATGGTATGTAGTATTTGGCCTACTGCCAGAAAAAAAGCCATCTTATAAAACACTTTGTCTCGGATGCTTGCAAGTTGCAACGAACTTTGTCTAGGTCAGCTGAAGGTCATGAGATCCTTACATTGCAGGTCTGACAAATCAAGAGAAACGGATCAAGAAGATGAGATGAGAATAAGATAAGATGAAAAGAAGATGAGATGAGAAGAAGATGAAATAAGACAATATCTGATTAGGAAATAAAAAGTGTAATAGGAATATGTCGTCCAATTAATAACAGTTGAAAAGTGTAATGATTAAAACCTCTAATACAAAACAATCAGTGTAAAATAGGGTGTCACAACCGAATGGGACATCAGACAAAGATAAAACTAAAAAAGTTATAAAGAGTTATATTTTTGTTATTATATAGTGTACACCCGTTCTTTCAAAAACCGCCCTTCAAAACATACTAAATTACGCATGAAATAACTACAAAAAAGTATGTCCCGATACCCCACGCGATAAATATCTCTCGTGTTGATTTCAATGTTCTTTTATTCAATCCTTGGTTCTCTATTCAGCCTTAGAGGTAAACTTCAAATTGTTCTTGAAATATAATCATAGCAGCGTTACTTCATTACAACTAACGTCACGATGGTCAGCCCTTTTATGGCTATTTTGAGAAGACTTGTTTTAGTTGAACTTTGTGTTGATTATCCAACATTTTGCCTTCACCCTCTCTCTCTCTCTCTCTCTCTCTCTCTCTCTCTCTCTCTCTCTCTCTCCTCTCCCTACATTAAACTGACTAAAAATGAATGGGAAAGTTGAAATAAAGTTCTTTCTTTATCATCGAAAAGCCACTATTCTGTTCGTAGCACTTTGTAAATGGTTAGCTCTAGAGCTACTTAGAATCCAAATAAATCCTATTCGCATACAAAGATTTCTCTCCCTTTCCTAACTCATGAAGTAAACTCACACGGAGAGGATTGGTGAGTAATTCCCTTGGTTTCAAGCCTGTGATGAAAGGAAAATCTAATTGGTTCTGTTATTGATCGTGAATGTAATAAAATTAAATGTTTGCAGTTGAGTGGCATAGTTGGGCATTGCAGTTCAGATGGTGATTCAGAAATGTGCTTTCACTGTGTATTCACATCTTCGCGATAAGTTACAAGAATGAGTTATGAGGCTAAAGCACGTAACTTGTACGATGATTGGAGTTGTGGTATAGTGGTCGCGTCACTGGACTATGGATCACATAGTTCGCGGTTCGATTCCCGATGCAAACATTTAATCAATTATATCTATAATATCTACAATTCATGGGATGGAACGCCCTGGTCAGCACATCTTGTTTTTGCGAAGGTGTACACAAGTCGGAAAATGGAAAGCAGGTCAGCCCTTATAATTTGTATTGCTGAGCATATAGAGGCGTTTAATAATAGTTTGCCTTTAAGAATAATCGTCGCTGTTTTCACAAAGTGACGGTAGTGAAAAAAAATTGCATTCACTTTGCGTTACGATTTTCCTCACTACCGTCACTTCGTGAAAACAGCGACGAAATGTTCCCAATGTTATATTTTAGTCAGTGCATAATCATCTGAAAACTTGGAAGTGCAAGCTTACTATTACCGTGGTTTTACTGGAATGATTTTCCTCTTTTTGTTGATTGAATCGGCAAACGTGTAAAATGATGACTAGAATGTAAGGTAGAAATGGCAAATGTTTCCATGCATTGAAATATCATTTTAATGCATAAGTAAGACTTTCAATTTGATATTCACCTTTATTCCTTTTTTGTATCGGTACAATTTGGTAAGCATTGAGATCAGTTCAGTAAATAATTAAGAAACTAGAAGGAGGCGAAGACGGCTTTGTGTGTACGCCCATGACATGAGACCAACGAATAAACATTTACTTTTTAAGTGTTTCATCTGATGACGATAATATTGAGAATATTTATTGTTTTGTAAACTTATTCTGTATTTCTGGTTTCTTCGCTGAAAAACATTGCGCACTTATGGCGAATAATCTAACTTTCTATTGGGGTGCGTGACGTTCATGTCAAACAGATTTTGTCTTCTTCAAAATTCCAGCGTCAACATGGCGTTGTTGCACTTTGTGAGAAGGTCACTTTCATTATCGTGAACTAATTGAAATTGCATGGTAAGCCGAACCCCCCCCCCCCCAAAAAAAAAAAGAGCAATGTTTTTGTACGTGCAAATGAAATGGCACCTGAGTGCAACTAGAGACAAAAGCGTATTCACTTAGCTCTGCGTTTTAAGATACGGAAATGTATTTAAAAAAAACACCAAAAACGCCGCGGTTATACGACGTCATGTCTTTACGAGGCTCAACCTTTAAGCCTCAGCTCTCAACCATCAGATCCATGGGATTATACACATTAAACTTGAACCAGAGGATTACATGTCTTCATAATGAGCAGTGATATGAATTTTTGATTGGTGTTACGAAAGTCTGAACTTCCTTCTGTGATGGCCTATATATTTCGTATCGTACGAGTATCTTTTTTATCGTTATGAACAGAGAAGTGGTGCTGATATCTGGAGGGGCAAGGGAGTATGTGCCCCCAATCGGGTGGTGAAATAATAATTGTCATATTTGTATAAGGCTTAATGTTATGTTTCTATTCGCTTTACATTGTAATTATTATTACCCCTGTCATTGTAGTTGATTGCAAATCCACATAACACATGATAGTGCATACGCTCCGCTCTCTGTGCAGTATTCATGCCAGGCGCCATTTTACAAGAGCACACATTCCAATTCAACCACATTAACGTTCGCATCCAACCGGGTACCAATTTAACACCTGGGTGGAGAGTGGCAAATGTAGATTAATGTCTCGCAAAAGGACATCAGTGGCAGGCTTAACGCTACGCCACTGGTAAAGATAGAGAGAGAGAGAAGGGGGAGGGGAAAAATAGAAACAGAGAAAAGAGTAAGAGAGAGGGAGACAGAGAGAGAGAGCGAGAGCGAGAGAGAGAGAGAGAGGTGTACAGAGAGAGAGAGAGAGAGAGAGAGAGAGAGGGGGAGAGAGAGGGAGGGGGAAGGGGGAGAGAGAGAAGGGGAGGGGGAGAGTACCGTTTCTTGTGGTGACACGTCACATTCAGAAATCACGAGGAAAAAACAGAAACTTTGATTAAAGTAATTAGATATTGAATTGTTATAAAGTCATTATCACAACAATGTGACCTTGTTTATTTCAGAAGAAATTATGATGTTGTTCGTCTTACCTCATTTTTTGTTGAACATAACAACGCGTCGTTTAAATTATTTGTTACCATAATCTAGCGAAAGATTATGGATTACAAAAAGTAATTACATAAACACATAATAAATAGTTTTATATAAAAAACATTCATACCTGAAAGATGCTTAACATACAGAAAATATCAAAGTTTTAGATAAATCGATCATTTAGACCATAATTCTCAGAAGAGATTGTCCTTTTTCTGATCATGTAAAAACACTTACATATTTCTTCATTAATACATTTTTCTCAATACATGCAATTTTTTTCGCTTAAAGCCATCCATATGAAATCATTGCTGTGCTATTAGGGACTTTTCGATTTGTGGACTGCGACGTATGTGGTCACTTTTGAAGCAGTGCGCATGCGCATCGACGAGCTCATCGTTCATAGCAGAATTCTCGAACGCGTTCGCCCTTGTTTTGCCGTCGTTCGCAAACTGTGACGAGACATGTTCGTAAACAATCTTTTGTAGGCACGAAACATCACATTGAAGTCACTAAATGGACCCAATTGACCTAATTCTAGAACTGGAGAGTGGTGGAAGCGTGAATTCTCTTAAATGAACACATTTTCGTGTCTGTAATTTCCATTAAATCAAAATTGTTGCAGGATAATTCATAAAATGAACACATTTTATTTGTGCATCGCCAATCTGTTGCAGCATAATTTTCGAGATTAGTCCCATGCACCGAATTTGGTGTGTTGAATCTTTAGCTTTTCGATCGAATTTCGCGCTCACTAAGCAGAATAATTCATAAAGTGAACACATTTTATTTATGCAACGCTAATCTGTTGCAGCATATTTTTTTAGAACAGTTCCATGCACCGAATTTGGTGTTATATCTTTAGCTATTCGATCCAGTTTCGCGCTAACTAAGCGAGCGTCGTAGTTGTGTAACATCGGAAAGGTAACGAACAACGTACAGTCAGCGTGCCTCGTCAACCCTGCTTAAAAATGACCGCATACGTCGCAGTCCACTTATGAACGTGCATATCGAAAAGTCCCTATTGTTTTAAAGCAGTAGCCATACACCGTAATTCATCGATGGTTTGTTGGTGTAATCGGTCGCGTCATGACTGACGTGTTATCACCTCATTAACCTTACACCATGCCTAACTCCATTGGCCTAAGAGCACAATTATTTCGCTAGCTGGGGTTGGCCGATGTCCTGTTTGTCCAGGTAAAATGTCAAGTTTGTCATA